CATCATCATCATCATCGTTGTCGTCGTCGTCGTCTTTATCACCACTACCTCATCGTATTTTACATCAAAAATTTTGCGGTGTTTCTTGCTCTTATTGGTTCTTTTTCTTCTTCAAAAAAAGTGGTTGGTGAAAAAATCTGGTCTTTTCTGCCATCTTATTCTGGATTAATTCTTCCTATTTTCATGGTTCTTTCTTGTTTTATTTTAAGCTTTTTTTTGGAACTTGTTATTGACAAAGAAGAAGTGATACCATAGCAGAGAATATGTTTGATTTCAAACTGATCTCTTGAAAATTCCGACAGTTGCATAACCAGTGAAGTGAAAAACTTGTGTTATATTTGGATAAATAAAAAAAAATGATTTTTTACTCTTGAAATTTACTTTAAGGTCAAACTCAGTCATTTTAACGTTCTTCTAAAATGTTTCTTTGATGTTCGTTATCTGTAAAAAGAAGTAGCAGTTTTCTATTTTTTTTTCTGCTCACTAATGAATCTTTGTATAGCTTTATATATATATGTAAAATAAAAAATTATATATATATATATATATATATTTATATTTATATTTATATATGTATGCATGTGAAATTCAAACCAAGTATTCTTCTAGTACAGGTCTTTTTAGTAACAATTTTTTACTCTTCTATACAAATGCCAGTCGTTTAGGTCATAAGCTCAAAAGTAATGAAAGCCTTCTCCGTTGTATCAGTTTTCAAAAAAAAAAATTTCAAAAAGTAAGTTTTGAAATACAAAGAAAAAAAAAGATTTTTTCAAGTGTTTGATAAAAAAGTTATGACAGAAATTTTATTTTAAAATGAATTTTTCCAGATATCTTTAAGTCCAGAAGAGCAGTGATCAAGTGCTGCTTCTGATGAATTAATATGAGAGATTATTGTTTTTTTCCTTTTTTCTTTCTCCAGGAGAAGGAGTAGCTGTGTTTAAGTTGTGTTAAAAGGTTTTTGAAGATCGAAAAACTTTTTGAACTACTGCTCTATCTGTTTGTTTCTTCTCACTGTTTTTTTCAGAAACTGTTTTTTTGGGCAGTTTTAAGAATTTTTTTTGGAATAAAACATTCCAAAAGCTTAAAGCAGCAGTAGTAGCAGTCTTCTCAGTTAGTCATTCGTTTTTTTTTTCTGTTTTTGCGTCTATAGTTCCAATATCTCGT